TCTTGCAATGCAAAACAACACAAGGGGCTCCTTCTTAAATTTATATATTGTTTTCAGATATTATTCATGGCTCTCAAAACGTCTTTGATTATACCTCAAGAATCATAACGGCGCGGAAATACATTTTATTATTATTAGATAAAACTAGAATACCAAAATTCTAGAATCTGGAGGTAGATGCAAAGAATACCAAGTACCCCTATTTGGTGAACTATTTAAAAAAATAACATTCAAAAGTTTAACAGCATTTGAACGGCCAACTATGCGAAAAAGCAAAAATAAGGCATATTTCATAACGAGTTGGTTCAGTTGAAGCAATATTTAATCAATAACTAAAAATCAATCTCAAATTTTCTTGTTAAAGAAAAAATTTGTTAACAGAAATGCAATAGAAGTTATTCTAAGTTGATCGATTGGTTTTAATGAGAAACACTCTTCATCACTCTACCGCAGTCCAGCGTGACGTCCTAGGAGGTCGTCTGCATGTCCCAATAAATACAATACGAAATAATACTAAATAGTAAAACTGTAACAGGTATTTTCATGTCGCCTTATTCAATAGAAATTCATAATTCTCATAACGAAGCTTCAAGCTCTCACTACTAATGATACATTAGCATAAACCTTACTAGCATACTATCACGAATCCTGCAATCGGATTGGCTAACGTACTCACTATCTATCCTGTGATAGATAGCGAGTAGCGAAAAATATACAAGTGCAGTGGTCAAGTTTCGTCGAAATCGTATATTTCTGCTTGTTCTCTAAAAAATCTTTAAAAATCAATTTTAGAAAAGACAAGACTATATCAAAGGAAGGAATGGAGGTTTTGAATTTATACATCCCGTAAAAAAAGTATTTTTTATAAATTTTTCATAAAGTCTGTAGCTATAGATATTCTAGAAACGCGGATCAGTCAAGTTATTACAAAACCACTTTTAGGGTTATTTGGATTTTTTCTCGCACACAATTGTTCTCAGGGTCATCTTCAAAAAAGAGAATTTTCAACTCTATGTCAAGTAATTGATATTTATTTGGATTAAGGTTGTTGAAAAGGTTGAATCATCGAAGTCATAATGCCGAGGGGTTTTCAGGGTAGTCGATATCCTGGGCATTGTGGCAATATGGTTTGTCACGAAGTACATTTCTAAAACTCATGAAATATTTAATGAGGAGAAAACAAAGCAAATCACTACTGTGACGTTGGTTTGGAAATGTGTTCTTAATTTGCATTAAATTTCGTAAATTTTTTCTTTGATTTTCTCCAAGAAATATTAATGAGTTTGAGAAGTAATTTGAAACACTTGAGAGAGTTCTTCCTTTGATTTCCAAACACCTCAAAGTCAGTTTAAAAAACTCGGCTTCTCAAACTCATTGTGTTTGAAAATCAAAGGAAGAACTCTCTCGCGTGTTTGAATGATTACTTCAAGAACGAGAATCTTCAAGTGAATCGGTGTTTCCATAGAACAACGAACAAAATTTTCTCGAAGCGGTTTTTCAAGAAAATGTCTTTTGCTAAAATTGGAACAAGGAAGAATCAATTCTGCTTCGAGTACTATAAAGTGGGGTGGTTTTTCACGCATCTTTTTCTTTTTCTTTTTTTCTTTTTTTGCCTACAGGGAGCGTCGTTGAAGTTTTGAAACCTGGGCCGGATTGTTCAAAGCTGGTTTAGGGCTAATCCAGGATTAACTCTATAGGTCTTATTAAGAGTTAACCCAGGATTAGCACTAATCGGGCTTTGAACAACTGGGCCCTGTAAAGTGGCTCGTAACACCATGGTCAATGGAGGGTAACACCCCCGGATGGTCCAACAAAACATAATAAAAGCTAAAAAGAATTAAGGCAATCATTTAACTGCTCTAAATTATGATCCCAAACGGACGGAATTTAGTGGGTAAAAATAAAAGATAAAGATGACAAATCAATAATAAAGTAGCGAGGGTAAATATGTTAACTTGGAGCAATATTCCTGTAACTGTAATCATGATGTTAAACATGAAAGATAAGATTAAAATCACGAGGAAGTAATTGTCGCGTCTCGCATAGTTGATTGTAAATTGATTTATTTTCTTTTTCTTTTTTTGTAATTTCATTTTTTAAGGTTTGAGATAATGAATTGAGAAAGTATAATCATGAGGTGATTATATCTGAACTATGAAGAGCAATAAGCCACGGGCCTACATTTGATCATTTCACAGACTTTTTGAGTGGAATTATTCAGTGGAGGGTAACTAGGAATCTCGGTAATCTCTTGGAGAGCTCCTTTCGTTTTTTTTTTTTTTGTTTTTTTGTTTTTGTTTTTTGGCTTTTAACAATACCATATCTTTATGTTAAGCTACAGAGAAGATCTGCCCAATTTTAACATGACAGGTCATTACAAACAACATAGACTTAATCTCACCGGCGAACAGCTTCGCAACCACAGCAAAAAAACACATTTTTATGTAGTCCAAATGCGCGAAAAATAGAGTTGGTCACGCTGTTTCGTAAAGCAGCGTCACACTTGTCACACTTTTAGCACTCGATTTATCCTCAATAAAATATATTTTAATATATAAATCATTTCTTTTTCTTTTCCACTTTTTTTTTTTATCTTGGGTGCAGAATTTGATAAAAAAGCGTTGTTTTCTTATAAGATAAGATAGACATAAATATATGTACATATATATTATAAAGGACACGACTAGTTGTTTTTTTTGAACGAGTTCGGATGAAATTTATGAAAACAGTTCAAAATAGAGCTTTTGGTTTTATATACTATTTTTGAACTTCTTGCAAGCCAAAACAACACATGCAGCCGGAGTTCCGCTTTTAGGCAGTGCCTACATTGATATAGAGTTCCTTGGTAAAAAATATTATTGATGGAGCACTTTAAACGTCTTTAATCACCTTGGTACGAATTGTATAACGAAACATACTTCACTACTAGCTAGAATACCAAAATTCAAGAATCTGGAGGTAGCTAGTATAGTTGCAAATAATTATAATAGAACCGAATATACTAACAACCCCTATTTGGTGAACTATTTCCGAAATAACATTCAAAATTAAAGTTCAACAGCATTTTTATTATTCTTTTTTTAAATCACACAAAGTAGATAGTCTGCAAGGCTTTTGCGGTCAACTATGCGAAAAAGCAAAATATTGAGACATCTTTAATGGCTCGCATTAAACAACGAGTTTGTTCAGATGATTTAGTAATAACTAAAAATCAATTTCAAATTAGCTTGTTAAATCGTATTAAAGAAAAAGGTTGTGAACAGAAATACCATAGAAGTTAATTCTATAAAGTTGAACGATTTATTTTTATGAGAAAACCTCTTTATCAGTGCCCCGGGTAGTGTGACGTCCTAGGAGGCCGTATGCATGTCCTAATAAATATAATATAAAATGATACTGAATAGTAAAACTGTAACAGGTATTTTCATGTCGCCGTATTCAATAGAAATTAATCATACATCTCATAACAAAGCTTCAAGCTCTCACTAATGATACAATAGTGGATCATATTTCACTCTTATCGGACAACTGAAGTGGAAAGAGCTTCAAACAAACTCAAATCGTACGTAAGTAGAGTGCAAACAATTAATCCGTGAAACACTAATAACGAAATAGTACAAAATAGTGCTAATTAAACAATAGAAAACAATGGAATTTGCATGAAATTGTACTATTTAGTCCTTACTAAAGTTTCACGGTTATATTGTTTGCACTCTATCATTATATTACTACCAAATAGTTTTTCTATCAATCATTGCAACTGCGGGTTAGATTGAATGAGCAACCAACCATTATTGAGTTATTTGTCGTTAATATATAGTATTCACTACAATATGTGCATATTTAATTGGTTGATCAAACGAGGCTAGGCCCGCAGGGCTTCGAACTCAAAATGGGGGCCAAGCAGTGAAAAGACGCGGGAGCTTAGTTTTGTTCAAGTTTTACGTTTATTTTGTAAAATAATTTAAGAAAGCTACATTCAAGAGTTGCGGGGGAAAATTGAAAATATAGTTGCATAAAACGTAAGCTTTTGAGTAATTCAAAAATGGTGTGATTTTATAGTCTATTTTACATTAAAACTACCAGTCTCTATGTGATTGATTGTAAATCATCAGATAATATAACATGACAGCTAAAAATAATGTTTCTGAAATAAAAATGTCTTAAGTTTAGCTTTAAAAGTTTCTATTGTTTCTGCTCTTTTAATTTGTTCAGGAATTGAATTCCACAATTTCGGCGCTGATGTTGAGAATGCGCGTCCGCCATAGGAATTGGATTTGATAGATGGGATGCATAACAGTGAGCGAGTTGATGATCGCAAAGTTCTTGGTGGATGATATTCCTGTATAATGGGTTCTAGATAACTGGTAGATTGCCCGTTCAAGATCTTATAAGTAATGAGCAAAATCCTGAAATTAATTCTTGCTTCCACTGGTAGCCAATGCAGATTCTTTAATACAGGTGTTATATGTTCAGTGCTTCATGTTATTATTTTACAATAATTATATACTCAAGCTACCAGTCAGAATATTATTCAATTCTGAAGAATAGCTTACTCACAAAAAGCTTGACTGTACTTAGAAATGGGGGAGGGGGGGTGAGGGCTAGTGCATTTCACTCTAGATCTCTATCCCTTTTTTACACACCCTGATCATATCTCCTAACTAGGGCTCTCTCTGTTCGTCTACGTCGTTCCCATACGACTTCAACAATCTACATCTCTAGTCCCGAACCTCAGATTCTCTTGGAGATTAGAGTTGAATCTTGTTGTTATTGATTATTGTTGATTGTGTATTAAGTTTTCGTTACTTTCGCAGACAAAAAAAAATCAATCTAATGAACTAGTTAAAACATGTTGAAGATAGAATTGTAAACAGGAAGTCCGTAGAAGCTATTTTAAGTTATTTTGATTTTTTAATAAATCTGTAAATAAACGCTGCCAGAGGCCGTTTGCGCGAACATGTATTTTCGCGTAGCTAGCCAGCAATAGAAACTACTAATTCCCATAACAAAGTTCCAAATTCTCAATGATACAAAACGTCTTACTTAGGTAGATCATATTTCACTTGTATCGGGCAACTGACGTGGAAAGAACTTCAAACCAAACTCAAAACGTAAGTATCATCATATTACACCTTTTGCCGTTCATTAACAGAAAATGTACATTCATTTGTGCCAATAGTTGTATCAATRACGTGTAATGTACTYTCATCAACACCACAAGTAACATCATTAGCGCGGATCAACTTTCAATAACGATAATTGAATATGCGTGTACATTCATAGGCATCAACGACAATCAATAGCGCGTTCGTACATTCATATGCGCGGAATGTATTTTCTTGTGCGCGAAATTCAACTTCAATAACACCAAATGACAGACAATTGCATTTATGGACAATCATTTACCCAAAAGTGAAAATTCATTAGTGCTATTAGCATCATCATTGACAATCTATAACGCGCTTGGACAATCATGAGGGTCAATGTTATATTCTATAGCGTGGTTCCACAAACATTTGCAAAAAAGTTATGACGCCGCTTGAAAATTTGATCCAAAATTTGGAGCATTGCGCTGCTTTTGTTTTTTTTTGTTTTTTTTTTTTTTTTCGTCAATTATTGTTCTTTATTTAATAAGAAAACTAGTTGTAAAAGACAACGTTTCGCTGTCATC